CGACAAGAAGAAACCCGACCCTGGAATCTTGGACAAAAGCCTCGATCCTGTGTATCAGTACGTGAATCCGTGAATCAAAACAACCACCAATAGTGCACAAGGCATATCCACGCCCAAAACGAAGTCAGGAACACTTGCACAGCGCTTCATATATATAGCGCAGGTGGCGATAATTTTCTGGAAACTCTGACGCTTTCTGGATGCGCCATCGGCAATCAGCATTCGGCCAATACTGGATCCTGATTGGACGTTGGGTCCAGGCTTTCGACCAGTCGGACTCAGCCTTATGCCGGACCGGCAAGCGCCACGATTTTCGACCAATCTTGCGTGAGATGGACTTCTCGGCCGGAGCAACACCTTACTGCGAGTGGTAAAGAGGATCCATGTGGAGTTCCGCCTAACACCACTCCCTTGAAGTTTATTGACGTAGCTTCGAAGCCGAGGGTTCACTTGCAGTAGCATAACTGGCTTGCGGATCCTTTCTGTCCAGCGTCGCGATTGTAATCCGTGCTCAGGCTGAGCCTCCGACGAAGCGGTTGATTGATTTTCAGGGATGTCGCCGAGATCAAAAGTGACCAGAAGAATTTTTAGGCTCAAAACCCTCGGTTCTGTGGACAGGATCCGCTTATCTATCGGCCGGGTTTGGTGTGTGTAGCACACCCACCTGGCTGGTCCAACTTCAATCTCATGGAGCACTTTCCCGTGCCGGCGAGAGATGAGACCTGGGGTCCACGTAGGGCGTCTGCCACTGTAGTCACGAACCGACACTCTCTGGCTTTCGCTGAATGAGCGCGCAGTCGCTCCACGATCCTGGTTGAACTGTTCTTCCATTCGAGTGTGACTAGTCCGCTTTTTTGTGGCCGGATAGTTTCATGCGGTGTTCGAAGCCTCCTTCGGAGCAGTGCCTCTGCTGGTGACACTCCATCAGGTGAGTTGGGGTTTGACGTCGCTCGATATGCCAACAGGAACCTTTGAAAAATCTCTTCCGTTGATCCCTTCCCTTATCACTTCAGAAGTGCCCGCTTCGGAATGTCAACGAAGCGTTCGACTGTGGATGAAACGGCGGCGAGCGGGCATGTGTTATGCCATACTCCCGACAAATGTTTGCGAACGCCGACGACGTGAACTGACTGCCGTTGTCTGACATAATAGTCTATGGTGTTCCAAAACGACTGAACAATCGTCGGAGTTCCAGGACTGTGCACTGCAAAAATTTCCGGCCACTTGCTGTAAGCATCGACCACGACCGAAAAGTGTTAACGACCCACTGGACCTGCATAATCGATGTGGAGGGGAGACCATGGTTCGATCGGCTGCGGCCACGACAATAGGTAGGCCTTCACGGGTGACTTGGATGCTGCAGCACAGCACAGGCATGATTTTGAGACTTGCTGGATCTGGGAGTACATCAAAGGCCAGTAGACGTAACTCCGAGCAGAGGACTTCATCCTGTTTGTTCCCGGGTGCCCTTTATAAAGCTGGTTCAGGACAGTTAGCTGTAACTTCCTTGGGATGACAACAGGTTCTGAAAACAAAAGGCATCCTTCCGCTAGTGAAAGTGCGTCATGCCCCCTGAAGCAATGCCTCAGTTCGTCTTTTGGACAGGTACGCGGCCACTGATTGCGGTGGTACTTAATGACTTGATGCGGCACAGATTCTTGGTCGGTGGCCTGGCGGACCATGTCGACAGTCACTGGGAGGATGCGAATCGCTTCTGATAATACGTGGTTAGCCTCCGGTTCCAGGGCGATTGTTGCGACTACGGTGTCTTCTGGTTCCCGCCTATTTGATTCAATTAGTCGCGACAGTGCGTCGGCTTGTCCGAGGCAAGTGGTGGACTGGTACTTGATCTTGAAGCCATATCCCAGGGGCAGAGTGGCCCATCGCTGGAGGCGGTTTGCAGTATATGCCGGGATTCCTTTCTTCAAGCCAGTCACAGCAAGGAGTGGCTCATTATCGGTCAGTAGATTGAACTGACGGCCTTAGAGCATTTTGACGGCAAACAAGATCGCCAAAGCTTCCTTTTCTATCTGGCTGTAGTTGCGCTCGGCTGATGCCAGGGATCTGGCCGTATAAGCAATGAACTTCTGGCTACTGTCGGGAAAAACATTTGAAATCACTGCGCCGATTCCCCAGTTCTAGGCATCCGACGCCACAACAATTTCCAGAGATGGGTCGTAGTGGGTGGGTAGCAATTCGGGACTCAGAATTGATTTGACAGAGTCAAGGACGCGTTGGCATTCTTCTGACCATGTCCACTTGTGTTCTGCGATAAGTGGCTGGTTTATTGGGCCTCGGAGGTAATGCATATCAGGCAGAAACTAAATATACTGGCTGACGCGACCGAGGAAGGACCCGAGGAGCGCCACGTCTGTGGGCGCTGGAATGCGTTTGATAGCTTCGATGTTTTCCGGGTCCGTCGGTGGCCATGTTCGTCATTGATGAACCCAAAGTAATTTACCGACCGCGTGAAAAAGGTGCATTTCTTTCGGCGCACTCTGAAGCCACATTCTTGTGTACGACTAAGCACGTAATCGAGGTGCTGCCACAATTCGTGGGGGTTGGAACCCATGACACTGAGATCGTCCAAATAGGTGGCAACGCCGGGGGCCTCTCTCAACATCGTATCCGTGATCTGCCGAAATGTGGCTTGCGCTGTTTTGACACCGAATGGCACTAGAGCATACTGGAACAGACCGCGATGCGTATTCATCGTGAGGAGTTCTTGGGACTCTTCCTCAACTTCAATCTAGAAGTAAGCACCGGCCAAGTCAGTCTTCGTGAAACATTTGCCTTCATTCAGTTTTGCGAACAAACCGTCTGGAAGAGGAAGAGGGTATTCACGGGTACTCAGCGCAGTGTTGAGACCGGTAGAGAAATTTGTACACAACCGGATGGTTCCATTAGCCTTCTTCACCATAGGTGCGGCCCAAGCAGGGTAGTTCGTCGGTTGGACAGCACCAGCCTTCTGTAGTAGGTCCAGTTCTTGGTTAAAGGTAGGTAAGGCTGCATACGGTACTGGGCGTTATCCCTGAACACTGGTTTGGCACCGGAGAAGAGCACAGTCTGGCTCTTGCTTTTGTGCACAGTCCAAGCTTGTCAGTGAATATAGATGCATAACCTTGTAGGAGGTCCTCAAGTGAACGCTTCGAAAAATGAATTTGTTCGAGGGCACCTCCGGGTCTGGGGAATAACGTCAGGTAGCACGTGGCTTGTGCCGTCGATCCATTGGAGTTAATGGAGCAGTCAACCTCGCCGCTCAACTTCAGTTTACCACCAATGTCCAGTCGGATTCACACGTGGCTTACCAATTCGTTTCCGCGTTCGTTCACTGAGCAGCCTGATGTCGGAGCCCATATCAAGCTGCAAACGAACTGGGATGTTTATACGAACCGTAACGAACTTCCTCCGGCAAGCAAAATCAACTTTGAATGTCGCCGTCACCGAGCTGGACCACGATTTGTGGGCTGCATGGTGGTGTGCAGGTGGCTGCAGCCTTTGAGATCGAAATAAATCTTCTTTGTGGCCACGACGACTGCATATAGAATATTTATGGCGCCCAAACCGGCTATAACAAGCAAAATGCCAATGACCGCAACGCCACCAACTTGTGGGAGGCTTACTCTGCCTTCGATGGGCCTTGTTGTCAGATTACTTAGGCGCGCTTGAGCTGATTGCTTGTCAACAGATGCTTGAAGCAACAGGCGACTGACCGATCATACCGTACCGTGTTTCAGGTTGATGAGGTGTTTACATTCGGTGGTGAGGCTCTGCAACGTCATTTTGCTATCCTGTTCAATTCTGTTAAACAGCTGGGTTCTGATGTCAACATCCTGGGACGACTGGAGACGATACAAAAATGAGGCACTTAAGCTGATTCTCCATCATTGAGCTGAGTTTGAAGCGCTCGTATTCTCGATTGACAACACTGGCAAACGTGATGAAATCATCGTAATCTCTCTTGATCAAATTTAGGCATTGGTAACGGATATTGAACAGTGATGTCTGATCGCCGAATTTATGGATAGTGTTCTGACCGTTTCACCAAAGCTGAAGTCGCGGAGCAGCTTGGGGAGAGTGAAATTTATGTACTGTTCATGCTCTGGTATGTCGACTTTTCGCAAAAATAATCTGACTTTCAATCCATCACCAAACTAGAAAAAGCCAGTTTTGAACATGTCTTCGTACCACCTGAACCAGGAGTCAAAAGTGTGACCAGAAAAAGGGTCGAACATGAACTTCGTGATTGAGGCCGAGGCTGCATCAGTAGAGGAAACAGAATACTTACTACCACTGGCGGCTGCTCTCTGGATGTGCATTTTCTGAGTCGGTGATTCAATGAGCTTCTTCAAACTGCTTTTGTTGTTGCTGCAACAATTCTAGGGCCTATTGAATTCGATTGAAATCGTGGGTACCCGATCGCCAACTGTAGTAACGGTATTTTTGTTAGCATAGTTCTCGGTCTGAGCCTCCCAAGCTAGCGTTCATCACCAAAGGTGCACAAGGTATATTAACGCCCAAAACAAAGTCAAGAACGCTTGTAAAGCCCTGTCTAGCAAGTGTAGTTAACAGCACTAACCGATCGACAGAATCAAACGCACCCTTGAAGTCAAGGTATTCCAAGATTGTAGGTCATCTGTACATGTGCCGTTGCTCTAACACCTGACGGAGTATAAAGATGTTGTCAACGCAAGCAGTATAATTGCGTCTCAGCAGCTAATGTTAAATTGTCTTTTCCATCTCATACACACTTCCAGTGTATCGTTGGGCCACTGGCGCGATTGCATTCTGTTCAGATATGATTCTTCACAGGTTTGAGTCTGCGACGGGATACTTCCGTATAACGTCTTTCGTCAATTCCTAAATTAATTGGATTATTTATACAGTGGCTTTCTGATTTTCGTGATCCGGTCTTTCGTGGGCACTTCTCAGGTCTTTTGATGATGCTTTCTCCTACGTCCACCCCAGTAGGCCATTCTTTGCTAACCGAGTACTTCCGTTTGCAGACTTAATTGTAAATTTACTCGGCGCGACTAGTTTTTCTTTTTACTTGATGGATGAGCTAGCCCCAAGGTTGGACTTCAAACACAGGTATGTTTTCTGCGTTTATTTTATGCATTTCGTACTTAAGTGCTTTTGCGCGGCATACTATCAGGCACCGTTGGCCCGTCATACTTGCACAGTTGATTGACTCCGTCTACCGTAACCGAGTTCGATACCAGGAGGATGAAGGGGTTGTGTTCGCTGTCGTTGATTCCTTATACCTGACAGATTGACCCAGAAAAGCTCAAATCATTGACTGGATGTATTGGTCAGTTGCGTTATGAGGTGACCACGGATAAGCCCATTACATTACTGTCCTCAGTTCTTCCTAACTGCAGTGAGGAGCTGGAAGTGTGGAATAGCCGACTGCACGCAATTGGTGTTAAACTTACAGGCAAGGACGATCTAAAGGGAGCAACGTCACAACACCCCAGTTGGCACAGTTTGCCATGGTTGTTCACAGAGTGTTATTTGTATCGGCGGATTATGGATCATGTGTTTCACCAGTAAGTTTGATAATTTTCACGCAATCAATGCGTTTTCTAAAGTGGGTTACTTTCTTTCGATCCGTTTGCGGCTAAGAAACATTCTGGCCTTAAGGGATCAGTTGCACTGCTGGAACAGCTGCTGCGGTTCCTGTCACTGTTGGAGGACACGTGCGGCTACACTTCCGATGAAGAGATATTTGAAACGTTTTTCCAAGTAAGTGCCTACCTAACTATTCATTTCTCGGCTTACTTTTCCGTTTTTTGGTCTGACATCACTGTGTTTATAAAATGTCCATTTTGTGGTTGTTAATTTATTTGTCTTGCTTTTCATGCTTTAACTCATACGGTGCGTTGCAGTGAGGAAAACTGGAGTAGTTGCATATTGAGTTTTCTGTAGCTGCAAAATTATTAGTGGGAGTGGTCACACTCCTATAAGTTGTTTGGGCACATATCGTTTGATTGATAACGCCTCACAGGGCCGATCTTTATTGATTCCGAAACTGTGTATCGCACCATGTAGTATCCATAGTGGCTTATTGAACTATGTATCAATGCTTTTTTCGAAATGCACCGCACAAATACGCTTTAAGCCCGCATTTTTTATCTGGGTTGAAAATCTAAAGTCGTTTTTATGTTTTATCTTCATGACCTGTTCTGAGGTTTGTTGGTAGTCCTGTGGTAGGAAGATCTAAATTTGGTATCCCGTATCAGTTGCGGAGCGCAACCGAACTGCAATTCCTTCAGTTCAGCTTATCAGCTATCAAACTTGCCCGGAGGGCACGTTGGTTCCCCCTGCCTGAAAACGAGGGGCGGGGAAATATAGTCGGGCATTGGAGGCAATAGCATATTCATTTAGTATGTGTTGAATCAATCTGATTATCTTAGAGAATGGGGGACTGAGCAGCTACGCACTGAATGCTTTGACGCAGACACCACTAACTTGTGACTGAGCTATGTCTACCAGTTCCAAGGTCACCATCCATAGAGGAAGCAGCTATCAATCCGAATGAGTTTACTGGTTGTTGTTTCCGTTATTCCGTGCCCGGCCATAGACTATCGCCCTCTCCGTCGTAGTCAATCAGCGCAGGGCTGATTAAAAAGAGCTCTCCGATATAGCTGATCCTCTGACGTACGAAGCACATGAACTTCCAGATTATGAAGTGGTCTCGTCTTCAGTGAGTTCTCCGGAACCTGTACAACTGCCCAGGTGAATATGTTTACATGCTCCGTCGATCCGTTGGTCTGTAAGTATGAGGTTTGAGTTTCATTCCAATCCGTTTTTTGGCGCATACTAGACCGTACGTTATAATTATCCAGGTTTTTTAAAGTGACTTAGATCTCTGACGGATCTAAAGCAAGAAGAGCAATGTTGTCTGCGTACCCAATATCCTAACCGAACTTTCTGGAAGCATCTCGATTCCTGAGGTTTTGGAGGCAGGTAGGTGAGTTTGAAACGGCATATCAATAACAAAATTGAAGCGGGATGGAAAGAAAAGCAGTATTGTCTCACGCCGCTGGTCGTCTTGAGCTCAGACAAGGGCTTGCTGTATACCTGTAGGCGTTTACGGGAGCCTGCGTACAATGACCTCACAAGGGATAAAAATTTAGATAGGGATCCTTCGGTCGCCAGACGCCGCCAGTTCTTGACGATTACTGGTATCAAAAGCAACTTTCAGGTCAGAAAAAATGACCAACGTTGAACATCCGAAAGATTCGCCTTTTCTCAAGGTTATGATACGGCCGATGCATCTTCGATCAGAGCGAAACGCAGCTTGATATGACTGAGGTCAAGTTACGTACTCCAGAAGGGACGGCAGTCTTTAATCGAGCTCTCCATCGCTAACTGACACCCAAGTGATCCAACTGAGTTGATAACTAGCTTGCGGTAACAGACGATGTCCAGCACACAACTGAAGAAGTTGCTCCCCATTGTGCGTGTGCTGAGCATGCACTCCGAATCTACCATTCAACCGTGTTTCTTCCAGGCGTAATCGTTCAACTTGGGTGTTCATATCACCCATCAAAATGACAGTATTTGTTTTTTCCGACTGAAGTAGTCGCGTGGCCCATTCTTCTCAGCTTCAGTACTGCAGTCTTTCTCAGCGTATTCTGAATAAACGCCGTTTACCGCATCTACCTAAATAGAACCAAACAACAGTACAAAAACCATTACTACTGGGATAAAACCTAGTAATGCATTTTCAGCGCTGGAGATGAGTGCAACCCCCGCGCCATGGATATCGTGAGCGATTGCTTCACGATGAACAAATGAAGTGGAATGTAGAGCATCCAAGTTCTCCCTAGGCGGTTTTAAGCGCATTGCCGAAGTGGGGTCTTGTGTGTGGATTTCGGAGACATAAGATGTGTTGCCAGCAAGGGAAAACAAAGTCGTTGCAAGAAACACCTGCTGTACCTTTTGACAAAAAGCACGGACTTGGGAAGGTTCAACGTGGAACAGATCTTTTGACTTAAGTAAGAGATTGTTCTGGATACGGAACAATAGTTGGGGCTGGTTGACCGGTTGAAAATTGATTGGTGTGTGGATGTGAGTGAGATCCGGCGAACGAAGATCTTCAATGGATTAGTTGCCATGTCACCCTGAGGAACTACGAGAATCGAGATACTGCCACGTTATCCAAGCCTAGACAGAGGCAATCAAAATGCCGGAGGTGGGTTCGAACCACGGACCGTTTTCCCCCCAGTAAATCCGTGCCATCCACATCAATGGTTGGAGATACCCACTGTTTTGGAAATGTGACGTGACTAGTCGCGGTATTACATCTATTCTCCTGTTGTTAACCATTAGTAAGCCGTCCTTTGTATGACTTACATCTGTCATTTAAACGTTTTTCTCTATCCCCCTATCTTACGCTACCCCTTGCCATAAGCTGCAGCGAACCGAAGCACCATACATACTTCCACGGTTCAGGGTCGTCAAACTGAACGGAACTCGCACCTTAACCACTGAGCTATCTCCAGCTTCTACCTTCCGTTTGCCTAGTCCTAGAAGTAGATTTTGATTATTATACCCCATCTTTAACTTGGAAGCTTGGCCCGCAAGCTAGTAAGACAGTGGAGGATATCTTTGAGTAATGTCAATTCTACTGGCTGCATCCATTTAACCGTTTTCACGGTACGCTGTCTGAACGCTTTCGAAGAAAGGCGGAGAAACATCGGGATGGTTAAAAAATAACTCGGTGACGAAACTTAGAGACGCTTACAAAGTGGTTGTTCTCTGTAGGATCGTGCAAATTCCTCAGCTAAGATACGAACGATGAGATCTCAATTTAGCTTTAATACTAAAAGACAAGGACCGAATCACCTGCAATTGCACTCGTGTGTTGCTTTTTTCCGCGCTACGTCATTCATAAACTCAAATTCCCAATACCTTCTAAGTATTTATTCTCTGGGAGGAGTGGTTTGAGCAAGCCAAAAATTTCCGCCGAAGGATGCCCTCCAATTAGCGGAAGCTGCCATATTACAACAGGGAGTATCCTCTAAGGAACACTAATCTCCAAACATAAAGTACCTTCCTGATTATCATAGGTGTTTATATCGTTTCATCGCAATTGAATGGGTCCTATTTACAACTTTCCAAGCGCAACCGCAGATAAAAATGCAAGTATAATGGAGGGGGATGGTTTTCTTACCCGTGCCTGGTCACTCGAGGAAGGGAAGAAGCTGAACATTTATCGAAATGCACTCATTTGCAAACAAATTTGGTTTTGCGAGAGATTCACCTAGAACCCAATTGAATCTCTTGTTTGTGGTGTTTCCAGGCAGCTGAATGTGATGCACGAGGCCGCCTCATATTTCAGTTGCTACGATATTCGAGATATCGTGACACATGTATTTTCGTAATGCACTAGATTGAGCTGGGATCCAGGGGAGTCTCTCGCAGACCAAATTTGTTTGAAATGAGTGTATTCCTCTAATTTCGTGCAATTTGGTTTGAAGTAGAACATAAGGTTGACGGAAACTCAGGGGCTGCGCCTACCTGACGAGCCCCAAGAAGGGCAAAATCGGTCTTCGGCTGAGTAGTGCAGTCTGAACAGTTCTTCTACGTATTTCACTGAGAACCGCGATCGCATCAGTATCTCATAGACAACCAAGATCCGCACTGTTTGACAAGTAAAACTCTCATTGTTGTTGGTGGCTTACATAATAAGTGCTTATCCGAGGAGTGTTTATCCGTCGAATGTAACCCTTGCGTGGCTGTCGATTAACGGTTTCTTCACCCAATACCCATGTGAATTCAAACGCGTAGGTGTTTAGCCCTCATATCACCGCTTGGTCTGGTGTTTGTGGTGGGTCCAATCCTGTAGTTTTGCTTCATTTGGCGAAAGGCACATTTATGACCCGCCCACTGTGTATGGGTAAGCCACCATGACACCAGTTGGATAGGTACACCTCTTTGATACATTACTGCAGTTGATGAATAGTTCGCTCCTTACCTAACCCGAGGTACACGCTTATGGGTCGTTTCGTCACCGACACTGAGTAGATAACTAATTGCATCCTTTTTGATGTGGGCGAGATTCAGCCGAGACTCGAATGAACCTGCCGTTTGTGAGCTCGCGGTAGCTCGGTGGTCAAGGCGTGGACTTGCTGATCATAAGGTTCGTGGTTCGAAGCCAACCTTTGCATCTCGCCTACTCCTGTCTGGGTTTGGACAACCTCGTAGTATCTCAGCCCTCTTGCTTCCTTCGTGGCACTTTAATCGGGGTGGGCCTTTATTGCAACCGGGTTTTCTGGAACAAACTTGTTAGGAGCGTGTTCAGTGACAAGTTTTGAACAGTTGCCAAACCTTGTTATAGATAATATCTAACCGTTTGGTTGACTGGTTAAAATTTTTCCAAAGCGCCTCCCCCTCCAGTAGGATTTCCCGGAGCTCCCTCCAACATGCCATATTTCCAGCATGCAATGAGACAAGAAGTACTGAATAGCGTTGCGCAACAACACTGCATAGCTAACCACAGTCAGCTGAATTATCTCTTCTTGGCGGTCATTGGAGGTTGTAAACGATGTCTTGGCTTCAGTAAACACTCTCGTAAATTTAGTTGGTGTTGATGCGAAATTCCCCTGTAGCTCTCGTTGGTGGTTTCCATCGATTTTAGGGTGAGCGCTAAAGTGTCTGGGATGTTTTCTTGATGACTTCAATCTTACACACATCTGGAATGTTTGGCAATTTATCTTCAGATATCTGTATTCTACCAATGTAGTTTTTATCACAGACGTAGTCGGACGTGCGCAACAGAGAGATGTGACCTGTGCTACTTTTACCAATCTGTGGTGTGACTCAGTTGAGCTACGGTACAAATACAGCTTTGTGTGGCTGTCCACTTCTTCTGGTATTTTGAATGCGGTCACGTCCAGAGCCGTAGCACAGGAATACCTATTTCTCAGGGCTGGTGGAAACACAGATCAAGTGAGGTCAAGTCATACTCTGCGCTATTTTATGAAGCTTTCCTGCTATCTGTTTTATTAAGGGATTTGTCCCGTGATCTCTTTCTCTTAAAGCACTCCGTCCGTAGTGCATGTGTTTCTGTATTTGTAAAGCAATATTCTCACTGAACCATCTTTATGCAAGACTTGGGTAACGTTAGATAGGTTAATTCATGTACGATCAGGACTGCTTTATAGATGAAGATGAGGTGTCCCTTTCTATGAGCGCAAAAGCTACTGGTCCAAACTATCATTCTGTCATAGACAGATAAATGGTGATTAGACAAAAATATAGCAAATAAATAGTAGACAGTTAAATATTGTTTCTTATTTACATATCTATCATGCATTGTTCCTACCCCGCTCTTGTACCACATGACTTCACTGTCTCATCCAGTCTTGTCGGCATGCCGTTCCATAAATTCGCTCGGTCTACGTTGGTGACTGATGAAAATAAACGGAATCTCGGCATCTTCCCATCTATTTTGTCCTCTTACCATGCTTTTTTAATTGTACGGTTATTCATCTCTGAGTTATTTCTGGATTTATTTTGTATGCAAACGTTTTCTTGTTCTCTAAGGTATGAAAATGATGTGGCAGCTATGGAAATAAGCTGTGTGAGCATCCATAGATTTTCATGTGTGATTTCTTAACAGCTTTTTTCTTACCAGATCGTGCATTCTGCCAGTGTGTTTTGTTAGTACCACTATCCTTTCTCAAACATCCACTTTTGGTAGGCGGCGCTATGGGCGAATGAATTTGACCTGTCGCTGCATGCAAAAGAAGAACACCACGTTGGTGGGACGAGCGATCTTCCCACTCATATACGGCGAATGCTTGAACGCATGGTTGTGAACGATACCCATGAGCTATGGCGATTCTGGACAAACAGGATGAAAGGTCCATCTTCGGTATCCTTCAAACAAGAACATATCACTTCAATCGTTTTGGACAACGCAGGTCCCGAACTCGTGGCCGACCTGTGCCTTGCGGAGTTTCTCATTCGGAGTCAACTAACTTCCAAGGTTGTTTTCTATCCCAAGTGTATACCTTGGTTCGTTTCTGATGTGACGGCGGCAGATGTTGACTGGCTGCTAAAAGTAGGTCTGTCTACCGAATTTCTCCCCGGTCCGATTGGTGTTTTAGCCCACACCTGGGCATGCAGATGGACGGAGCGGTGCAAAACCCGCGGATTTTTCGTTCGANTGAATTTATCGTTCGAAATTCCACGTTTTGGACGCTTCCATGTGATTTCGCCGAATTGGCGGCGAATGAGCGGACGCTGTGCGACGCGCTTACGCAGTCAGACGTGGTAGTTTTCAAGGTACTTTTTATTGCTACAGACAACAGTTTTTGTTTACCAGGACCGAATGTTTCAACTGTTTCACTTAGATAAAATGTAACATCTTTTTGTTCATAAGCCACACATGATTTACTCCGTGGAACCAATTACGACAGTAAAAAACAAACATTTTATGCCTATTGTCGCCAAAGCAGCCAAAGTACAGTAATGCGAAGTGAAGTCGGCGCATATGTTGAGGCATCGGTACACCAACCTTGTGACTGTCTTTTTTTACTGTACTGGGCCATCAATTATGTGAATTAGAATATGGTGAGGCCGAAAGCACTCACTTCGTGACTCTCATGAGTGACCTTTCTAGAACGGCCTCTTTATATCGCTGAATCGCCTGTCTGCCGATTCATTGAACAGGCGATCGCAACAAGAACTGGCGAGTGCTCATCACGAGCACTAGTGATGAAAAACTCCCAACATCGGCTTTTAGGGGTCAGGTCTCACAACGCAGAGGGTTGTCGGATGAATGAAAGTTCGACACACATGGGCCTCGGTTTTTAAGGTGATTTCTTAGCTGAAGTAAAGCAGTTTTTTGTAACTGAAGAGAATATTGGTGGCCCGGGTTGCAGTGCTGGCTGTTGATTCTTTCCACCGAGCTGGGCAATTTGGTTGCAAACACCAGTCGAAACCGCGTGGTTGCTGCACGTACATGGATTTCGGCTACATGAGATTTACTTTCCCAGTTCGACCTTGACCGATCGTTGGTCGTTCGGGTGAGCTGTTGCGCAGTCCATTTGGAGGTCTTGCAGTTAGAAAGCAGGGATGAACCAGAATACTTGGAGATGAGGGCTTGTTCACTCAACTTCCTTCTCACTGACCTTGGCGGGGAAATAGGATCTGTGAGTGCTGGGAACATCGCTGTCTTTGGGATCATAATTTCAAGTCCAAGTTGGCGGATGGAATTTACCGATGCGGTTGAGTAGCCGTTGTGTACTGTTGTGATCGTCATCAACTACAACCATGTTTTCAACGGCTTGGACGTATGACCTTACTTCGACTCAAGAGTAGTTAGCTAGTACCGGATACAACATCCGGTCAATAGTGAAGCTGAAAATCTCTGGAGATGGTAGGTATTCTAGCCGAATTCCGAAAGATTCAAGCTCTAGACACGGACGCTAACCTCGATCTGAGCCTAGCAGGACACCATCTCGCAGCATAATTCTCCACAAAGGTTATCTGTCCACAGATTAGTAACCAGCGCGCTAGTCAACGAAACTGGCAGTTTTGAACTTTTGATAGTAATACAATGTTCGAGGATTCGCTGTAAGGTAAAAATTTGGTCGGCACAGTTTCTTCTTAGATAAAATCCACCTCGATTCGATCTGGTGCGAAATGCTCGTTCGGATTAGAGATGCCCAAGTGGAGGGGCGGTGAACACTTTTTTGTGGTATGGATGCAACTTATATGTGGTAGTTTCTGCATCTATTTCGAATGGCTTCCTTTGTTTTAAGCATCAGAATGTAGATGTGCCTCTTCTTTGCACATTGCTCTTCCATATTTCGCAAAATAGCTCGTCGAAAGTTGATGACCAGACTCTCTTCCGTCTCATCCCGGGGATGATTCTTACAACTTCATTTCTAGGTGCCTCTCGAGCAGTCTGTACTTATGGAGCACTGTTTCATGTTGTGGCATTTTCAACCGTTCCTTGATAGCCTCGACAGCTTCATAACCACTAGACAATGCACAAGCAGAGACGGCGAAATTTCATTTACTGCCTTTATTCGCCGGCATTAATATTTAAAATAATTCAAAGTATATTGTGTGAGAAGGCGCACCTAACCAGCCACAGTTTCTAATTGGCAGCTCACTCAGCGGCAACGGTTCGAGCTTTTGCCCTTGCATTACAACATTGTCAACTGATTAGCCTGTAGTCAGGTAGCTTGTGCCTGCTGTCACAGAGCCCTTATAGTTTAGTGGATGCAGGACCGTTGTGTAAAACGCTTTAGCAGTCCTGGTAATATAATTGTCACGTCGTCTTAAAGTGATGCAGATGTGGCTTACTGGTATGAACTATCAGCACTTGAGCAGTGGCCTTTGTAGAAACTGTTTTTCAATCCTGTTACATCCAATACTTGACTTGCAGCCTTAATGTAGGCTACGCAACTTGTTCTCACCATTGAATTCAGCTCCACCCCTCCAAACTAACCCAGTGATCGGCCGTCTGTTGCTTCATGCCTAGTAGTGCAGTAATTTTCTCTCTCTTCCCCATCTTCAAATGCCTGACGAATCAGCTGTCGTGTTTCAGTAGAATATTGACTATGAGAGCTACGTGGAGCCATCTCATGGGTTTCGTGCTACAAGCAACTGAGTAGGCTTCTTCCGGTCTGGCCGTAACACAGATCCGTTTGATAAGAGCAGGAACATAAAGCCAACCGGTTGGGCGGAATCAGTGTATGTCAAATCGTAGCTCGATTAGCACCGCAACCACAACTGATAATCTGGGAGGCTTCGTGTTTTGTCTACTACCGACTATCCGAAGAGTGCGAGTTGCCCCGGGCCAGCTTAGTGGTCCTGCACCTTGCCGAGCTTATTGGTTCGCCTGACTTTTTCGACATGGACTTGAAAAGGTGCATGTGGCGGACAGGGGTGTGGTGGTAAATCAAAGTGCCTTTGGAACAAATGGGCATCTCCAGTGCCGCCGCACCGAGTATGAAGCGGCGCCTACACCAAAATCTCACGTGGCATAGATGAGATCTCAGTCAAAACGCCCAGACCATAGTGAAGAGTTCATGTCATGATTCTATCTCTTCGAGCTGACGTGCTGATGAGCTGATTTCTTAAGAAAGCGCATGGCTCATTAGGCGAGGCGCTGGTCAGAACGTGGACGAGAATTGTTAGTGAGAATAGAAGGAACTATTCATGGTTACCATGTTTTTAGGAACGAACGGCATCACATTTTTGATGACGTAGTTTGATAGAAGGCCTTTCCTCACTGTTTTGCTTCTATTTTCCTTCGGCAGCTGATCATAACAGGCTTGATTAAGTTCCTGTATTTTTTTGTTGAGGCTCGTCGGCTACGGAAAGAAGGTTGTTTCCACTGGCATGTGGACCCCCGGTTGATCTACGTAGTATTCCCCTCGCCTGTTACTCTGGAACCGTTTTTCTACACGTGCGATGTAAAACACAAGATTTGTACGATACCTCATTATAGTTCAAGCTGGCAGTAATTAGAACCCATGTCCATGTTTCATGAAAATCCTCTCAACAATTTCCCTGCTTTTCTATTTTGTCTCTGGCTCTCGTCGGCGGGAATCAAAGCCGGAAGATATTCAGGAGCTTAGCATGTAGTTCAGGGTTCAAACGATCTGCGATTTGCAGTGTTTGTCTTACCGTATCCTTCGTCCTCTAGTTCGAAATCTTTTACTTCAACGCATTCGGATTTCATCTACTTGTGCGCGCACAGTTGTAAGTGTTTCGTTCGAGATCCAAGTTAACTCGAAAGGGACTGATTATCAAGTGCATTCAACGTGTAACAGGGCATAAAAGGATTTCGGTTAAATGATTGTTACTTCGAGCACCAACGAGCTTCGTTCCGCATAGGCTGGTGTGAAACGTCGCATCGTACGGTGAATTTCAAATGTCAAAGTAGAGGCAGTCCCAAGAAAGCTGTACAGTGACTTGTGTGACTGGTCTTCAGGTGAGCAACTGGAACCTACAGGGTGTGTTCCATTTTATTTGAGATCTTCGTCCAACTAGCAGAGCTGAAGAAAACTGATATTACACAACGAAAGCGTCCTACCCAGATGAGTGGGGCATATTAACCCGAGAAAACGAACCAGACGGGCAAGCCCAATAAAGCTGTTTTGATGCTGCGTCTGAAAGACAGCGACTAAGAATCACATGGGGCTGGTTTGGTTTCCTCCTCTAGACCGATCGATTCTGTGGCCTTTCATCCGGGGTTGTGCTTACCTGCCAGGACAGACGGAGTGGGCCATTTGCTATCTTCACGTGGGAAGCAGGAAGGGAGCATGAGGTCTGGGATACTGCCAGGTTGCCCAAGTCTAGCTAGGGGAAGTCGAGAGGTCGAGTTCGAACCACGGACCTTCTTGTCAGTAAATTCGCGCTCTAACTACTGAGCCATTTTGCCCCCTATCTTCACATCAGCTAGCAGAAGGACCGGCCTAACTCGATGCCTCTAAGACGTGTCTTCAAGACACTTGGTTAGCCCTCACAAGAGATAGGCTACATACACATGAGGGGAATGTGATCTTGTCCATTTTCTCCATTTGACGAAAAGTACATTCCCCGCCGAAAGCCCGTAATATTCATTCTCGCGTAGAAAGAATCGAACAATCGTAACACCGATTAGCTGCGTGGGTTAGCTGTGTACATATTCGTTGACTTGTTCGCTGAGCTGGGCAATATGGTTGCAAACGTTTCATCACCAATCGAGGTGACATCCATGCGTTGTTTGTGGGCGTAGTGGGGAGTAGCGATTGGTCGGAGATTGTGCACAACCACGCTACCGAAGCTACCAACATTTTCCTCTATAGCTGTTTATATCTTCGACATGTTTCAGTTGTTGAGTTATGTATTCATCAGTCACCTCCGGTAGCGCCTCCCTCGCTTACACTAGCAGTCAAAGATATGCTAACGGCTGATTTGATTGAGATGCGAATAAAGCTGTTGTGGTGTTCTCCAATGGAATGTTAAGTACAACGGCTGCATGACGGTTCGTTTTGGCTATTATTCAAGACATCGATGTGAATTCCCCTCCAAAACACTACTACAAATGCAGTCGGTGTTAGCGAATGTTGCGAAGGATATACGGGGTCCAATTGTCCGGTGACAAGTTGTGAACAGTCGTTGCAATCGCCGTGGTTGACGCTCCGTTGTTTAGATGGCTAGTGAAAAGTCATTTCGAAAAGGAAGCTTGAGTGAGACTTCTTGCATGCAGTAATTTCCCAACAGTTAGTGAGGCAAGTGATCCTGGAAGGAATCGCTTGTTTAGGTGGTTTATTTGATTAAATTTGGTTTTATTACGCGTAACATTTCAACGCACACCTTGATTCTCTACCTATCTGTGCAACATTTAATTGAAACCCCACTCTGGACACCCAGTATCATGCTTATCAGCGGTTTAAAATATCGCTCCCGTCTAACTTTACTGCCGGTCGGCGGTACGTTGTTAACCATTTACTAAGCCGATATATGTCTCCTGAGTTTGTAAATCATAGTTAGACCCGTTGACTCGGCTGTGACGAGCAAAATGTGTTCCATCTATACTTCCTTAAGTTAGATATTAGTCTGTCTGGCTTCGGTCCCTGTTTGGTCTACCCTCAGTGTTTCGGTAAACTTCTGTTTTGTTTACTTCAGGGTGATCTAAACTATCGAAAACTTGTTGGCGACAGGTCATGGACTCCAGACAACCCACAACACAAACTCAATGCATTCCGGGCTATGCAACTCGGTCGAACAGTCTCCTCAGACGGTCTTATTGATTGCAAATGTACACCTGTTTCGGAAAGTAGGTCGGATAGTCGCAAGCACCCGCTCGGTGCTCCTGTTGATTGCCGGTGTCACAACGAGGACAGTACATCGTCTCCGCCGTTGGTGATCGCCTTGCGCGTGGCCAAGGCAGATGTTGCTGTTGGGCTCAGTCCTGAAATGTTACGAAAAGTTACAACGGAATCTTCCGATTGGTGGACTCTCGGTCGATACGGCTTCGTACAACTTATCAGTCCACTGTACTTTGGGTGATGCTGTCACACTCATTTTTCCTTTCTGATGTGCGCGCGTTCGTCCCATGCCTTTCTGCTTCCTACTCACCAGTTATTTACTATATCAGAATGATGCCGAAGTTTTTTTTGTATTGATAAACGATATCTACCACTGCCAGCCTGCTTCATATTTGTGGATGGTGTCCGTGACAGACTTCTTAGCGAGAGGCTGAAATGAATTTAAGATCTCCGATATATTACACATCGAGTTTCTTTCAAACAGAATATTCCGAGATATGGGCTTAATATTATATCCACTTCCGGCAATGTACATATTCGAAATTGTAGGTTCACCCTGTTCGTATGAGAGAATTTAAACTGCATTCAGGACTTATTGGACTGTTTCTTCAGTCCATGTTAGTTGTGTACAACCATGACCTACACAACTAACATGGACTGTTTCTTCAACAGAACCTGGGTCATGCACCCCCCGAATGTTAGAAACAAGAGTCATACCTCCGAAATGGAATAACATGCATCCCACTTTCGAGTGAATGAACAAGAAACGTGTTTACAGACCGATGTCAGGGTGTGATTTTTGCCAGCCACTAGATGCAAACCGGCCTTAACTACTCTGGTATCTTTGATCTCGAGACCTTTATGAATGTTACGAATAATCCGGCTGCGTATTTCTGTGAATTCTAGCTTACAAGGATCTATTTAAATGGCCAAGTTCTTAAGGTCACCTCGAACTGGTAGACCACCAAGCAGCGCACTGGTGATATCTTTGCAAATGTCTGCAAATCAGTTGCCAAGCTCGGTGAGGAGACCAACAACCACCTTATCAAATATCAATGAAAACACCCGAGCCGCAAATATTCCAACATATTGCCTTGAACTAGCGAGCCGTTCTAAATAATTGATCATTTCGCGGATCGGATCGTGAGCCGGCCACAAGCCAAATGACTGTATGCCATAGTTGGTCAGAATGTGAGCCAGTTAAGATCGGTCATTCTTAGCTCGGCCCATCTCGTTCCACAATGAAGGTTCTAGCCCGACCCATAAATAAGGTTTACTATCCTTTCACTTTCTCCATTTAAGGCTGTCTCAATGCACGTGTTTTTTGGTATGCCGCAGTGGGTGGAAGTGCAAGCGAAACACCGCCGTAGGCATTGTAATACAAATTTCAGTCGGTACTGTTTGTTTGCTTCAACACGCAACAATTTTCAACAATTTTTCAGTTACAGAAGAATAGTCGCAAAAATTTCACTATCCATATTGTGCTGAAAACATCTTTCTTGCTGTACTCGTGGACAAAGGCACTTTTTGTCCCGCATTGCTAACCCGCTATTAGATTACATTCACTGATCAGTAGATCAGAAAATCAATGGAATTTTGTAGTGAAATGATATCACAGAAATCGTACGCCTGGAACGGCGTTGCCACATAACAGGACAGAGTACTGCATCATGGTCACCGTGATCTTCAGCTTCAGGAGAGCAGTTTTGGAATAGACTTGTTTCTCTCCAGATTTATAAACAGGACACAATTTTACGCCTCGTGTGATCGACGAATAAAGCAAACTTGGACCAAGGTGTCTAGTGATGGAAGGGTCCCAGCTTGACAACGCCGACAAAAAGTATGACAATTGGTCAGTACCATTTGAAAGTTTTCATTAACATGAAGATAACCGCACCTTGTTGGTACGATAACGTACCCCGTTGGTCTGAACGGTCTAGAGTAACTGACGTCTCGGAAAACGATATCTATTCAAGTTGATTCACTCGTGTAGCTACTGAAATATCATAAGTAGCCTACAATTCATCCATTTGATATCTCGATATCGATGGCTCTCAAAATGCGTCGACTTCTCATTCCAACAGCGTCTTCAGGTGCGCCTGAGACCCGTTTCACCAAGTAGTCAACATAAAGATATTCCATCCTCCCGGTCTCTGAACCATGAAATTGCGGCATATTACTATGCACACTGGTAATGTGTCGAAATATTGGTAGCTCGAGTGAGTTTATTGGTTGTCGGTCAGGTGGCCGTTGATCTGCTCGGCGAGTGGTGACGTTTCCTCTTTGGTGATGAAACGTTTTCAGGTCAATTACCAAGCTCAGCGAACAGATCAACAGCTAACAAATGCCCATACTTTGATGTATCGCGGTCACGCTGACCATGTGATATGAGTACTTATGATCACCAACAAAAATGAAGGAAGCACCATAAATCCAAACAAGTGCATCAGTTTACCTACGAAGCTTCGTGTTATCTCTACAAAATAATAAATCTGATTTTCTTGCGGAGGAAAGGACTTCGTGGTTAAAACATAAAATTCGGATTCCTTCCGGGAATATAGATCGGTCTGTTGCAAAATTGGCATAGAACTTACATTTGTGACCGCCATCTGGTAATCCAGCAGCATTGGGAGGGGAAGCGAGGAAGAAGCGCAATTAAAGTTAAATGGCATATGGGAACTTCATTAAAACGGTGATAATCTAAGGCGGTTTTGGGGGTTCGAAAGAATACCAAGCAGTGGTGATCACCATACAAGAATATACCTCCAACGCTTTCGAGAAATTTCGAGGGAACTCTCAAGGACGCGAGCACCCGGTTCCGACATATGCGTAGCTTCATTCTCGCGAACTCCAAGCGTCCTCCAGCGTGTTCGCCGTCGCAAGACACTGCTGCTGCTGCTGTACGCATTGAGATGACTACCATTCAGAGCAAATCAGCTGAATAACTCGCCGATCGATGGTTTGCAGCGTTCTTGTTGATGTTAGTGTTGTTTTTGTTATGACTAGCATCATCATCACATTACTTTAACAAACACAACATACTGTCGGATGGTCGGGAATAACACATCTAACGTTACTTTCGTGTGGATGAACTCGATTAACAGTGACATTTTCACCTGGTTTTCGTTTACGTAAACCTCGTGAAAGCGCCCCGAACCCCTTGTTTAATTTCGCAGTCGATTCTCAAGACCCTTGGTGCATCTGTGTTTAGTCGGTGTGCAACTTACCCACAATATTCCAACAATCTCGCTCATCAAGAAAGAAGGGACTAAGGAGCAGATTATCACTCTATAACAAATTGATCGAGTTTGAACAGTCCTGCTCTCCTACGGAGCTGAGTATTGAACAATTGTGTGGTGCAACACTGAAACGTCCTTGCTGGTTGATCCACCGACACACCAGACGATTAGTTCCAACCTCTAAACAAAGCCCACCGCTCCGTATATCACGGAGTAGCATATGATGGGATACTGTAGGAATGCGGGCTACCTAGTTGGTATAAAGGGACACAGGTCCGTTTTTGCATAGGTAATATTTCCCTATCCTCAAGAAGTCTGAATGAAGTAGTGCCAATCAGTTGGAAATAGCTCTTCCCCAACTTCTTGTTGGCTCGGACAGCTTTCCATGATCTCGATTATGTTCGTAAGCTATTGCAGAAAATGAAACCCATCAAGGCACGCGGTCCCGCTTATCTGCCTATAGGAGGAAACAAGAATATTTCAACCTCACTGATCCCTCTCTTCAGCTTCTTTTTGCTTTCCGGGAAATGCCTGATTGTTAGAGGTCATTCCGCGTAAAACCATTTTGAAAGGTTCACTTACCCATAGACTGATCGCCTGCATTGCTGTTCTGAGGAATTTCGAAGATGCTGGATCTAAAATAATCAAACTAGAGGAATGGCACCCAGTGAACCTCGTTGGACCCAATGCTGTGTTTTTCATGTACGTGGTTTTGCTCAACAACACGGGGAAGGTAATCAAAACACACTCCCGCACAAAGAGAACATCATCCAAATCAATGCGACTTTTATGAAAGCGTGGAAGAGTGGTGGCCCACAAACTTGTGGCCACCTTGCAGACGGCGTTGTCAAAACCTAAACGGAAACTAGATTCAGTGGTGAGGAAAACTGCCGTTTACAATATTTGATGCAAAGAGTTTAACAAACACTACATAGAGCAAACGGTAGAGAGGCTTTTCACCAGACTTTTTTAAATCCCCATGGACACAGCTTTGTTGTCAAAGGCACGATCAATTTTCACTCTGTCATCGTTACAGCAGTCCCGCTAACTCGAATTCTAATAATGAAATAGCCACGTGAGCACGCCTGCTTGCAGAATGATAGCCAGAGACCATTGGAAAGGATGTCTGCTTGGAGAGACAAGAGTATGTAGGTGAAGGGGCAGTCGTGTGTTAATGACATCATCAAACACGACAGTATGAACGGCATACTTAAATCCACAAAAGTCCACTTGAATCCTTCTTGAATAATTCAGAATCCCTGTTTATGATAAACTACGATATGGGTGGACTGATTCTTGTGTCGAGAGTTTGACGGTAATACTTCGAATGTGATCGGATGAAAATATCACCCCAGTTACCTATCCGAATGTGTAAACTGAGTGCTTACGGCTTGTAGGCTTGTGGTGTATAGGTGGGCGTCATTATGTCATTGCTTCAGGTCTGTATGGGACACTGATTTCATCCAAATTCATCCCAAAGACAGCTGAGGATTCTTGATAACAGCTGTATTATTCCCATACATATCAGTGTCACTGTCATTTCTTGACTACTGATAGTAACTATCAACGAGTCTTAGAATGATTGACTACAATAAGGTAACTTCCTACTTAAAGCAAACCTTCATCGGTGATTCGCCGCAATCCTATTTCTACTTGCCGGTTTTTTATCCTCAGTAGTTTTGTTCATCCGAGTGAAGGTAAATTGCAAATCGCATACTTTATACGAGGAGGTCCTAAGTCCACATACTATTTGACCAGTTTTTGGTTTATGTGAACCCGTTCCAGGACACTTCTGTTTACTACTGGTGTGAATATCGGAAGCTAGGAGGCACCCTGACGATCACCCAACTTTTTTCCAGATGTAAATTAGAATTAGCGGGTTTCCGTAAACAAAAGCTTACTCGTTTCTTGAAAAAATCGCTCAGTGTATATTGTCGGATCTCTCTGATGAAACTGCAGTCCTGTTCACAACGCCACTGTTTACGCTTTTCAATGATAGGTGATCAAACGAAGTTAGACCTTTTTGACAGTAGTAACTACACTACTGCAAATGAAGCGTAGTACGACCAGCCAATTGCAAACTAACCTGATTCCAGCGGGAGACTCAACAGGCGAACTCTCGTTCATAATAGC